GGATGGTTGGAAACATACCCTGTGCCCCATGCCACTGCCCGGAACACTATCCTAGGCCTTGAAAAACAAGTCCTGTGGTGACATGGCACCCCAGAAAGAATTGAGTCAGACAATGGAACTCATTTCCGAAACAGCCTCATAGACACCTGGGCCAAAGAGCATGGCATTGGGTGGGTCTATCACATCCCCTGTCATGCACCAGCCTGCGGGATAATTGAACGATACAATGGACTGTTAAAGACTATGCTGAAAGCAATGGGTGGTGGAACATTCAAACATTGGGATACACATTTAGCAAAAGCCAACTGGTCAGTCAGCACTAGAGGATCTGCCAACTGAGCTGGCCCTGCCCAATCAAACCTCTTACGTATGGTAGAAGGGGATAGAGTCCCTGTGGTTCATGTAAAAACTATGCTGGGGCAGACAGTCTGAGTTACTCCTGCCTCAGGGAAAGGCAAACCCACCCGTGGGATTGCTTTTGCTCAAGGACCTGGCTCCACTTGGTAGGTGATGCAGAAGAATGTGGAAGTCTGATGTGTACCTCAAGGGGATTTGATTTTGGGTCAGCCTTGCAAATGAAGCAAATGGTATGATGTTAATTGCCATACAATTTATAGTTGCTGTATGCAGCAATCAAGTTGAGCAGTGATGGAACATGAACTGGGTTCAGCATGCAGAAACCCAGCACCAGACCCCATCTCTCCTGCCCTGAAAGACTGTTACTACAGATGGATCCCAAAGTCATGGACTAAATGAACCCAACGGACATTTTATAGGGGTGGCCCATAGACTGAGGGAGTGATATCTGTGTGTATGTAACAAAGGACAGGGACAGTGGTGGTGATTCATTGGAATATATTGGAAAGGGTAGGACCAGGGCATGATATAGATTGTATGGGATAAGGGGTGGATACTGTCTTGTTTTCATCTGGGATAGAGTTAATTTTCTTCCTAGTAGCTGGCACAGCGCTATGTTTTGGATTTCCTATGAGAAGAATGTTGATAACTCACTGATGTTTAGCTGTTGCTAAGTAGTCCCTAGACTGGTCAAGGACTTTTCACCTTCTCATGCTTTGCCAGGTGCACAAGAGGCTGGGAGGGAGCACAGCCAGAACAGCTGACCCCAATTGGCCAAAGTGGCATTCCATACCATATGATGTCATCCTCCATAAATAAACGGGCAGGAGTTGGCCAGGAGATGGCGACAGCTGCTTAGGAATGGGCTTGGTATTGGTTGGTGCATGGTGAGCAATGGAATTGTGCATCACATATTTTGTAGATTCTATTATTATTATTATTAATTATTATTACTCCTTTCCTTTTCTCTCCTATTAAACTCTCTATATCTCAACACACAATTTTCTTTTTTTTCTCCCTTGGCTTTTCTCCTCTATGCCACTGTGGAGGCTGGGAGTGAGCAAACAGCCGTGTGGTGTTTAACGGCCTGCCGGGTCAAACCACAATAGATGAGCAGAATAAGCTGGGAATGGCAGCCAGGGTCAAACAAATTTTCAGATCACAGCCACATTTGTGAGGATCAGGGAGGTCTAAGGCCCCACTAGGAATTCAGTCTCCATGTCAGGATCAGGCCTTTCAGGGTAAGCAGGGTCAGACATAGTCAAGTGGTACCCAGGCAGGTCTGTAGTGGCACCCAGGCCCAGGACACAGCAAGGAAGACAGTGTCTGCATCTGAGTCCAGATGACCAGGGTCCATAGCAAGGCATGGCTGCGGCCAGATCAGTGCTACTGCATCTCATATCAGGCAGGGATTGAAGGCCCAGGCCTGAGCTTAAAGGAAGCCCGCGGCCCATGGGCAAAGGGAGTGAGTGGAGGTCCCATACGAGGTTAGTCATGGCTTTTAAAGCCTCTAAGTGCTCTCAAGGTCTTTTGGAGCTAATGCAGGTCTTCCAGGAGGACAGATTACCCACAAAAGAAGTCCATGGGGGTGTGCAGATGTTACTCTGCCATCACCAGATTCCAGAAACTCCCAATTCATGTCAGGAAAGTACTCACCTGCCAGCAGGCCTATCACATAGTGTGGAGCCCCAGGCAAGTTAACTAGACACCATTTGCCATATGGATGAGCACTGGCCACCAACAAGTAACACCTGAAACAGCCCTCAGTCCCTAAAAGGCCATACAGGGACCCTGATGTCATTACACTGAGCCCATGGAGAAGCAAGCACAGCTATGAGATGCTAAGGCATGTTTCCTGGACATGTTCTTGACAGTAACTTTGAAAGAAGACCTAAGCTGTCAGGCACTGTCCTCAGGTGATCCCCTTTCATGATAGAAATACTGTTATGGAGGCCACCTCTGTCACAAAAATGCCCATTGCCAATGCCTGCTTGTGCCCACAGGACTTCTCAAAGCCGGACTGTGACCAAGCTACAGGAGCACTCAGACCTTAAACTAACAGAAGGAGTCAGAGGGAGAGTATGGAGTCGGAAGGAGCAGACTTCAAAAGAGCAAGTGCCAGTTCTCCCTGGCCATGCCACTCTGCTGGGATTCTTTAATGCTCCACCTCCGTACACACGCACTGCTGATGACATTCCAGAGAAGGTCTGAGGAAGGATCTTGGGCAAACAAGTCAGTGGAGTGCACTCTATTTTATTTAAATGCACAGATTGTGGCTTCTGAAAGTCTCTGCATCACATATTCCTCCTGTGAGAAGCCACATTATGAGTAATGCCAGAAGATGATATACAGTTTATTTCTTTTGGAAAAAAAACAGTCATGAGTTTTCTCATGGAATTAATGAGTTCCTTGTTCCTCATGCTGTAGATGAGGGGATTCACAGCTGGAGGAAACACCGAGTACAGCACTGCCACCGCAAAATCCAGTGATGGAGAAGAGACGGAGGGAGGCTTCAGATTGGAAAATATGGCAGTGCTGAGAAACAGAGAGACCACGGCCAGGTGGGGGATGCACGTGGAAAAGGCTTTTTGCCGTCCCTGCTCAGAGGGGATCCTCAGCACGGCCCTGAAGATCTGCACATAGGACACCACTATGAAAACAAAACAACCAAGTGCTAAACAGACACTGAATACAAGAAGCCCAACTTCCCTGAGGTAGGCGCGTGAGCAGGAGAGCTTGAGGATCTGGGGGATTTCACAGAAGAACTGGTCCACAGCATTGCCCTTGCAGAGGGGGAGTGAAAATGTATTGGCAGTGTGCAGGACTGAACAGAGAAAAGCACTTCCCCAGGCAGTTGCTGCCATGTGGACACAAGCCCTGTGTCCCAGGAGGGTCCCGTAGTGCAGGGGTTTGCAGATGGCAACATAGCGATCATAGGCCATGATGGTGAGAAGACAATACTCTGCTACTACCAAGAATGTAAACATAAAGAGCTGGACAGTACATCCTATATAGGAGATGGCCCTGGTGTCCCAGAGGAAATTGGCCATGGATTTAGGGATAGTGGTAGTGATGGAGGTCAGGTCGAGGATGGAGAGGTTGAGGAGGAAGAAGTACATGGGGGTGTGGAGGCAGTGGTCACAGGCTATGGCGGTGATGATGAGGACATTGCCCAGGAGGGCAGCCAGGTAGATGCTCAGGAAGAGCCAGAAGTGCAAGAGTTGCAGCTCTCGTGTGTCCATGAAGGCCAGGAGGAGGAAGTGGGTGATGGAGCTGCTGTTGGATGCTTGCTGCCTCTGGGCATGGGGTCCTGTTCTTAGAGGAAGAGACAATAAAGAGTTAAGGGAGATTTCTGTGAGGAAAATCAAAGCCTTTCTCCCAGACCTTAACCGCTCCTCACTCCCCATCCCTTTTCCAGGAGACCTTCCTTCAGCTCTGTGGCTTTTGCTGGCCGAGCGTGCTGTGAGCAGGGCCTCTGCCCGCTGGCTGCTTAAGGAGTCAGCCCTGCTCTGCAGCAGTGAGTTCATGGGAACGGTGGGGGCAGGGGGCAGTCCTGGTGTTTCCCATTTTGGATTAAACTGCTCCTATCACAGACGGGGTTGTCAGCATCTGCACTCTGTGCTAGGGAACGAGGATAGCAGAAAGCAGTTGGAGAGTTTCTGGGGACTTTAAAGCTCCCCCCCATCTCACCAGAAAAGTTTTCCTGGATGTCAGAAACTCTCAGCATTTCTGGTGCACTCAGGGAAAACAGCGAGTCCTGCGAGGCCAAAGGATTGCCTGTGGCTAAGCGCAGAGTGAGGGTACCTGGTCTGTCCCTCTGACTTGCTCTGAGCTGCCACTGGCTTGTTCTTCATGAGATGGAGCATGATCACAGTCATGTGTTACCCTGAAAAACAACCAGACACCACTGAGAACAGAGGGATCCAGTGCAGACTGCTAAATGTTTCACCCTCACTCAAGGTCTCTGTACCCCACTTCAAGCTAAGGATCAGTTCACCAACCAAAAGCATTTTCTCCAGAGAGAAACTTCACCTCCCCAGAGAGCCTGGCAGCAAGAAAGAAATAACAATAACCCAGAAAAGTGGAGAAACTAGCAAATATCCAGTGCGGGTCTGGCTCAGAGAGGCCAGGGCAGAGGCAGGGGGGGCCTCAGGCCGGCA